CCATATAACACCGGTCTTTAAAGACCTACATTGGCTACCAGCACGTTTCCGAGCACAATTCAAAGTGTTGGTGCTGACCTTTAAAGCCCTAAACGGCCTTGGTCCAGTAGACTTGAAGGAGCGTCTCCACTCCCATTGTTCAGCCCGGACACTGAGATCCAGCACTGAGGGCCTTCTGGCAGTTCCCTCATTGTGAGAAGTGAGGTTACAGGGAACCAGGCAGAGGGCCTTCTTGGTAGTGGCGCCCGCCCTGTGGAACACCCTCCCTTCAGATGTGAAGGAAATAAGCAGCTATCTTCTCTTTAAAAGATATCTGAAGGCAGCCCTGTTTAGGGAAGTTTTTAATATTTAATGCTGTATTGTTTTTAACACTTGATTGGAAGCCGCCCAGAGTGGCTGGGGAAACTCAGCCAGATGGGCGGGGTATAAATAAATTATTATTATTATTATTATTATTATTATTATTATTATTATTATTATACTACCCTGATGTGTGGAGTGGACTGCACTGGGGAAATTGTGATTGTAACCCTAGACTCACTCACCTCGGAGCAAATCCCATTGAACTCAATGGGATTAACTGTAGAGTAAGAGACGTCTGGGGTTGCTGTTTCCAGAACACCGCAGGGCATGCAGATCAAGTCATGTGCTGTTCCTCCACCTGGATGGATCTGCTCAGGAAGGTGGGACCTGAACCAATTGCATTCAAGTTACAGGAAAAGAGATTCCAACTTAATATATCAGGAAGAACTTTCTGACAGCAAGAACTGTTTGATAATGGAACAGTCTCCCTCAGGAGGTGGTGAACTCTTGTTTCCTTGGAGGTTTTAAAGCAGAGGTTGGATGGCATAGCTGTGTTGCTTGGCTGCGTTGCTCACCCAGTAAGGAGTCTAAGAACGACTGGGGGGTGGAGCTTGCATGCCTTGTGCCGATCAAATTGGCCGCGTTGCCTGGGGACTCGCCTTTGCTCAGCGCTTCCCAGCGGAGAGGTGACGGTTGTTTTCCTTGCTGCATCCCCTTTGCTGGGTTGCTGCGCTGTGGGAACCACCGCTTGAGTTTCCTTTGGCTGCTGGCTGGGCTTTCTGCCTTTGGCTTGGAGGGGCTCAGAAGTCTAACATACCTGTGCTCTGAAAATCCCTTATTTTGGCTGCTGATCCCTTATTTCCGAGGCTGCTGGTCCCTTATATTCAAATCTGTAAGTTGGATGGCCGTCTGTCATGGATGCTTTGACTGAAATTCCTGCATTGCAGGGGGTTGTACTAGATAAAACTCAGGGTCTCGTCTAACTCTACAATTGTATGATTCTACAACATGTTTCTCAACATGTCATTTGAAATGAACATTACCTGATGAAGTCTTTAAGAGGACTCACCATCATTCACACGCAAGTCCCCCTTTGAACTTGCACCTCTTCCAGCTCAGGCAAAGAAATAATGATTATGGATTTGTCATAATTTGAGATATCTGTCTGTAACAAGCAAAGATTTGCCATGGTTTATAATTTTCTGTGAAATTAGCAGGGCTTTCCCCCCCAACTGGAACTCACCGGAACTCGGTTCCGGCACCTCTCAGGTGGGTGCTATTGGAGGTGTTCATGGTGAGTTTAAGCACCTCTTTTTATAGAAAAATAGCACTGGAAATTAGATTTGTCTGTCTGAACAAACTTGAATCAAAAATATGTACAGTGGTACCTCGGGTTAAGTACTTAATTCGTTCCAGAGGTCCGTTCTTAACCTGAAACTGTTCTTAACTTGAAGCACCACTTTAGCTAATAGGGCCTCCAGCTGCCGCCACGCCGCCGGAGCACTATTTCTGTTCTCATCCTGAAGCAAAGTTCTTAATCTGAGGTACTATTTCTGGGTTAGGAGAGTCTGGAAACTAAAGCGTATGTAACCTGAAGCGTATGTAACCTGAAGTACCACTGTAGTAGTGAAAAAGGCTTTTGCAAATATATATACAGTGGTACCTCAGGTTACATAAGCTTCAGGTTACATACGCTTTGGGTTACAGACTCCACTAACCCAGAAATAGCGCTTCAGGTTAAGAACTTTGCTTCAGGATGAGAACAGAAATCATGCTCTGGCGGCGCGGCGGCAGCAGGTAAGGCTTTGCATTGATATAATGAACAATGTTTGTCAAGACTAATCTGAAATCTGATATTGCTGCGTAAGATTATTATCTATCCATCAATAATAATAATAATAATAATAATAATAATAATAATAATAATTTATTTATACCCCACCCATCTGGCTGGGTTTCCCCAGCCACTCTGGGCGGCTTCCAGCAGAATATTAAAATACAATCTATGACGTCATTTGCATTCCATCCTCCTTCCAAGAAACTCATGGTGTTGTACATGGCATCCCCAGTCCAATTTTATCCTCACAACAGACCTGTAAGGTAGGTTTGACCAACTGGGACTGACTGGGCCAATATCACACAGTGAGCTTTGTTGCTGAGGAGGAATTTGAACCCGTGTTTCCCAGATCCGAATCTAACACTTTTCCTCACTCAAGTCCCTATAATAAGAGCCTGCAATAGATACTGGGCATTAATGGATATTTTCCTGCTCTAATAAATATTGGCCTGTTTCTCTGCTTCATGTCCAGTAATAATATATAAAACCACACCTGGAGTACCACAATTTAAGGAGGATATTGACAAGCTGGAATATGTGCAAAGAAGGGTGACCAAGATGATCGAGCGACCAAGATGGAAACCAAGCCATAAGGGTATGTTTAGCCTGGAAAAGAAGAGACTGAGAGGTGTTATGATAGCCTTTTTGAAGTATCTAAGTATCCTGAGGGACACGGGTGGCGCTGTGGGTTAAACCACAGAGCCTAGGACTTGCTGATCAGAAGGTCGGCTGTTCGAATCCCCGTGACGGGGTGAGCTCCCGTTGCTCGGTCCCTGCTCCTGCCAACCTAGCAGTTCGAAAGCACATCAAAGTGCAAGTAGATAAATAGGTACCACTCCGGCGGGAAGGCAAACGGTGTTTCCATGCGCTGCTCTGGTTTGCCAGAAGCGGCTTAGTCATGCTGGCCACATGACCCAGAAGCTGTACGCCGGCTCCCTCGGCCAATAAAGCAAGATGAGCACCGCAACCCCAGAGTCGGTCACAACTGGATCTAATGGTCAGGGGTCCCTTTACCCTTTACTTAAAGGGCTGTCACGTGGAGGATAGAGGAAGCGTGTTTTCTCCAGCTTTGGAGGCTAGAACCCAAACCAATGGATTCAAATTAAAAGAAAGGAGATTCCGACCAGGAAGAACTTTCTGACCATAAGAGCTGTTTGACAGTGAAATGGACTCCCTTGGAAGGTGGTGGACTCTCATTCACTGGAGGTTTTTAAGCAGAGGCTAGATGGCCATTTGTCATGTAATTGAGATTCCTACATTGCAGAGGTTGGACTAAGTGACCCTCGGTGCCCCTTCCAACACTGCAATGCTATGATCGTTACAAGTCGCCCTGAATTATGCTCAGTGCATACAGACATCACATCCTTGGTGCCATCCTTGCACAAGACTTTGGTAATATGGCGCCTTGGGCGAGGACAAAATGTAGTGCCCATCCCTTAATGATTCTTATTTGCACAATAATATTTGGTACAGTGGTACCTCGGGTTAAGAACTTAATTCATTCCGGAGGTCCGTTCTTAACCTGAAACTGTTCTTAACCTGAAGCACCACTTTAGCTAATGGGGCCTCCTGCTGTTGTGCTGCCGCCATGGCACGATTTCTGCTCTCATCCTGAAGCAAAGTTCTTAACCTGAGGTACTATTTCTGGGTTAGCGGAGTCTGTAACCTGAAGCGTATGTAACCCGAGGTACCACTGTATTATTATTTGGTACTTTGAATAGGACCTTTGTTGGCAAGGTGATGTCTTTGCCAACAAAGGTCCATATAGTTAAAGCCATGGTTTTCCCAGTAGTGATGTATGGAAGTGAGAGCTGGACCATAAAGAAGGCTGATCGCCGAAGAATTGATGCTTTTGAATTATGGTGCTGGAGGAGACTTTTGAGAGTCCCATGGACTGCAAGAAGATCAAACCGCTCCATTCTTAAGAAAATCAGCCCTGAATACTCACTGGAAGGACAGATCGTGAAGCTGAGGCTCCAATACTTTGGCCACCTCATGAGAAGAGAAGACTCCCTGGAAAAGACCCTGATGTTGGGAAAGATGGAGGGCACAAGGAGAAGGGGATGACAGAGGATGAGATGGTTGCACAGTGTTCTTGAAGCCACAAACATGAGTTTGACCAAACTGCGGGAGGCGGTGGAAGACAGGAGTGCCTGGCGTGCTCTGGTCCATGGGGTCACGAAGAGGCGGACACGACTAAACGACTAAACAACAACAACAACTTTGAATAGGTACCTGTATAAATATAGGTATCATCATCATCCCCCACCGTTTGGGCAGCCCTCACTGCGCTATGGGAAGCCGCCCAGAATCCCCCACCATGCCCCCTTGCTATGGGAATTCGCTCCATAACCCCACCAATGAGATGGACCTTCTTTTAGAACTATTGACTGGGCTGGATGAGGTTGTAAGGCGGGGGTTGGAGGGGGGGCGGATATGGGAAACTCCGATGGAGAGGATAGGCTCCCTGCCTCCGATTGCGCAGGGTCGGTGGGTAGCCGGCGATTTCTGAAAACTCTCCTTTGGCTGAATTATTCATGAGACCAAAAAAGAAAGAAAGAAAAGCAGAAGAAGGGGGGGGGAGGATGAGGAGCTGGGGTGGGGGGTGGGGAGCGGGAGGCCTCGGCGCTGATGTCAGTCCGGAGGAAGGAGCCTCAGCGCACAGCAGGATCTTGGGCGCTGCTTCCAGTGCTGCAGAGAGCGAGAGAGAGGGGGAAGCTTCAGGGTGCAGTATGCTGCCTGGCTCCCCTTCCAGCCTCTCCAGTAGCAGCGGCGGCGGCGGCGGCTGCATTGCTCGGGCCACGAGCGCAGCAGGGCCAAAGGGGGACCACGCGGCGGAGGCGGCGGCCGAGGGCGCACGATGGCTGGCTGGCTGGGCAGCGGCTCTCTCTGGCTCCTGGCGCTGGCGTGCCTTCTGCAGCGCGCCCAGGTGAGGAAGCCGGTGCGGTGTCCCGCCATCTGCAGCTGCACCAAAGAGTCCATCATTTGCGTCGGAGCGGCGGCGGTGCCGCGGAGCCCCGGAGACATCAGCTCCTTGTAAGTCGAGCCGAGAAGGGTGATGGGTGGGTGGCTGGCTGGCGCGCAACGCAGCGCGCGGATGGAACCAGACCTGGGGCGGCGCGTGTGCATGTTTTACTTGAGATTCCTGCATTGCAGGGGGTTGGGCTGGATGACCCTCGGGGGTCTCTCCCTCCCCCTTCCGACACTCACTCCGCGATTCTAGGATTCTGACGTTCAGAGGGTGTTAGGAAAAGCAAAGCACCAAACTTGCCCCCTCCGGCTGCTCCGTGCAAACAGTGCGCATGGGAAGGGAGGCGCCCGCCTGGCGTTTCCGGAGATGCCTGCGCGGTCGCGCGTTGCTGGCTCAGCCGGGGAGATGTTGTTTTAGGGCGAGCAGAAGATGCTGCAGCAGCAGGCAGTTCCAGAGATGTCAAAAGAGTCGAGAGGGGCGGGTGATGCGGGAGAAAAGGCCCAGCCTATGAAACTCAAAGAATTGGGGAGATGCAGTGAGTAAGTGGCCATGTTCTCACTAGAGGGGAAGAAATGATTTTCAGCTGGTCTGAACTATCTTGGAACAAATAGGATTCAGGGTCCTGGAAGTTGAGAGTGAGTTCACTGCCTTTGGTAATGTAGGACTTTTCAACTTGCCTCGCTTTAAAATCTGCTAGGCTTTAAAAGCCTTCAGTCAGTCTTCAATTCTGTTTCACTCACTGATTGCTTCTGTTCAGTCATATGTCATCTGTATCTACAGCTATAGCACAAAGGCACAAATATATTACAGTGCATATATGTAATAAGTAGGAAAATAAATCCATAATATAAGGGGACGAAGAAAGCAGTTCCCGATTCACTTTTCAGACAGAGGCAGTCAAATGCACACAATATTTTGGATGAATTGATAAATACGGTGAAAGGAGACCATAGAAAACTTCCGGAGGAGCAGGTTAAGAACTGTAAGGAAGGTCATGGAAAAGCTGTTAAGAAAGAGAGTCATAATGATGATGGTAATAATAACAAGAAAAAGTGTTGTAATTAGTTCCTATGGATTTTCCCTTGTATTTCCCCCCTCAGGAGCCTGGTAAATGGAACATTTTCTGAAATAAAAGAGAGAATGTTTTCACATTTGCCTTCCCTGCAGTTGCTGTAAGTATTAAATTTTTAATTTTTTTTATAAAAAGAGATGATCAAAGCTCTTGCCTGCAAAGAGGCATCCTGGGACTTTGAAATAACTGTTTCCAAATCACAGACTGAGACTCACGATTGGTGAACGTTAATTTCTAAAACCACGTAAAGAGCTGAGGAGTCATTGCTTTGAAAGGAAAGGAAAGGTTAGTGCAGAATCCAAAATAAATTGACATGCGATTATAAAGCTTATTCTCAAATCCAGTTTCATATTTTTTTAGAGGTGCACATTACAAACACTTCTCTTGTTTGACATTCGTTTGAAGGTTTATGCTAAAATATTGGAAGGAAATTCTGCTCCAACAGCAATGCTACATTGTTGAGAAGCACCAAAAGAAACTGGATTCTTAAACACCACCACCACAAGCAACACCTTTTTAGTATTCCTACTTAACAGCTTCCTTCTTATATCTCTGCCATAGCAGTATAATTCCCTATTTGGTTCCTTCCATATCCAAGTTGGCATGAGTATGCTTAGTTCCCACCATGCTTTTGAATCGCAATTCGCATTGTTGTCTCAAACTCCTTGGGCCTTCCTTTCTTCTGAGAAAGAGAAGGTGCCTCCCAGGCTCTCAATCGTGGGTGGGAAGGAGACAGGAGCTTGCTTGATGGCTTGGCAGTTGCCAAAATCTACACCCCACGCTGTAATTTTATCTTGGTTTGGGAATTGTTGGTGAAGTTGACTAAACAGCAGCCGTGCTGTCTCTCCTGACCACCTAACAACCAATACAGATGACCCGGTGAACCAGCCACAAAACTTGCATGGCCCACAGACTGGAAAACAGGTCATGTATATGCTTCCAATTCTCTAGATGACTCTCTTGGGAGCAATGCAGTGAACTGCCAAGCCATGCAATCAATGCGCTGTGTTACACAACAGTTAACAAAGGGGATAGACTGAGATTATTGTTGCGAACTGTGAAGATCAGCATCTTAACCTTCCTGTACGATACTATCCAATGCCCTTCAGGTTATAAGTAATTGTGGTTGACTTTCGTCTGACTTTACTGAAACTTTTGCAATCCTTATCCATTTTATGATTGGCGGTTGCCGTAATATTTGCACTCCTGTTTTGTGATAACTGTATTTTTGTGCGTGTTTAACTAATAAAATGTAGAACTTTGCAAAAGAATCAGCGCAGCGCAGGCTGCAAGCACCAGCACATGCTCGTGACGCCATCAATTTGTGCTGACGTCAGTCGGCTTCTAGACAGACCTAGAAAGGTCTGCAGGTACCTGCTGTAATCTGCTGAAGCCTTTTTATGAATTATAGTCCGTCTCCCCGTATATAGTGCCCAGTTCCACCCAAACTGGAACTAGGAAATCCGGTCAAAATTTCAACTTTAGAAAGACTTCAATGGTCACGGTAGAAATTAATGGTAACTGTGGAAAAGTGACAACAATTTATCCTTAGAGTTTGTTGGTTCCACAAGCACCTCTGTCCTAGCCTGTCCCTCTGTGGACTTTTGGTCTACAGTTGCTTTACACCAGGAAGAGAGCTGGATTATACCCATCTGAGGATAAGGATGGCACCACCCATCTTTGCTTCCCTTTCCCTTGAAAGTGGAGAGAAGCCCCTAGAAATGTGTTTATGGCCTGAAAGGTGGGAGAGTCCCTGTAGATTTGCAGTGTAGGGACGCGGGTGGTGCTGTGGGTTAAACCACAGAGCCTAGGACTTGCTGATCAGAAGGTCGGTGGTTCGAATCCCCACGACGGGGTGAGCTCCTGTTGCTCGGTCCCTGCTCCTGCCAACCTAGCAGTTCGAAAGCACGTCAAAGTGCAAGTGGATAAATAGGTACCGCTCTGGCGGGAAGGTAAACGGCGTTTCCATGCGCTGCTCTGGTTCACCAGAAGCGGCTTAGTCATGCTGGCCACATGACCTGGAAGCTGTATGCCGGCTCCCTCGGCCAATAAAGCGAGATGAGCACCGCAACCCCAGAGTCGGCCATGACTGGACCTAATGGTCAGGGGTCCTATTACCTTTACCTTACAGAGTTGTAGTGCAATTCTGTTCTTTTATGCATTTCTGCTGCACTGGGCTCACTAGGATGAGCTACTCTTTTCTAGCAGTCATAGATTCTGTTCCTCTTATTCTGCTATCCAAGAGCACCTCTAACCCCCTTTTTTAATCCAATAGCGTCGTGTCTTGCCACTCTGCTCTTCCAAGGTGGTCCTGGCTTGTTCTATCGAGGTTCTGAGAGCATTTTCCATACAAATCACTATATCAACATTCATATTAATATTTTCTATGGTTATTAAATGATGACCATATTTTGGCATTGATTTTTTGTGTGTACTGTTTTACTCAGCTCTCTTTTTAAACTATAAAACATTAAACGACACTATAGGAATCCAAGTCAGCAGAAATGCTAAATGAATGTTTGACAGTGATGTAGAACTGTGACTAATCTATCAGTCAACCAACCAACCCTTTCAATGCATTCCATCGTGGCTTCCCAACACTCTGCCACACCCCAGTGTGGTAAAGAAACAGAACCCAGGGTACAGCTGTGTAGACAGAGGGGGAGGCAGAACACCCAGTGAGGTGGCCATAATCCATCATTCAGCTGAGTTGACCTCTCCCTCCTCCAGCTGCCACCACAAGGCTACCTAAGGACCATCTTGCCCTGAAAGGGGGTGGGGGGTGGGAAGACAGAACAGCCTGGTGAGTTGCCCAAATTTTATCTCCTGGTGTTCCAGCTAAAGTGGTCTCTCCCCAAACCGCCAGCCCATGGCTACATAAAAAAAATCTTGCCCTAGGAGAGGAGAGATCTAACTATATCCTAAATAAATAAAATAAAATCCTATATTTAAAATACAGTCATACTTTGGGTTGAAGTAGCTTCGGGTTGAGTGTTTTCAGGTTGCGCTCCGTGGCGACCCGGAAGTAATGGAACGCGTTACCTCCAGGTTTCGCCGCATGCACAAACGCTCAAAATGACGTCATGCGCATGCGCAGAAGCGGCGAATTGCAACCTGCGCAGACACGGGTTGTGTTTGCTTCAGGATGCAAACGGGGCTCCGGAACGGATCCCGTTCGCATCCAGAGGTACCACTGTAAGTGGCTATCACTCAATCCTATGGGGGGAAGTAAATCACTGCACTTGACAACAACGTTCTGGTGGGCCACCAACATCCCCAGTCCCTCTGATATTGAGGTGACCTAGCTATCACATACAAGGCACATCCTGGAAGGGAGCAAGGTTCCACTTTCTCCAATTCCTGCCATTCACAAAGTTGAAAGATTTAGGACAAGAAAAAAGGAAGTATTTCTTCATGGAGCACAGAAGACAGTGGTGGCCACCAAATCCTATGGTTTTAGAAGGGAATTGGACAAATTCATGGAGGATAACTCTACCGGTGGCTACTAGCCAGAATGGCTGTGCTCTACCTACACTGTGAGGGGCAGTATCCTTCTGAATGCTAGTTGCTGGAAACCACAGAAGGGGAGACTTTACTTTGAAAAAATTAGAGTGTTCAAAGCAGGCCAGTCACCAGAATACTCCAGCTAGGAATAATGGAATAGGACTCTGGTTCTATTTTGTTGGTTTTCGGAACTGGGGCCATGATTAAGAGGGACGGCCGGGGGCATTCATATTGTGCCGCTAGAGGTGGAATTCTTGGACGAACCAGAGCGAAAGCATTTGCCAAGAATGTTTTCATTAATCAAGAACGAAAGTCGGAGGTTCGAAGACGATCAGATACCGTCGTAGTTACGACCATAAACGATGCCGACTAGCGATCCGGTGGCGTTATTCCCATAACTTACCTTTGTTGATATCTACAGGGGCCTGGCTAAAGGAACTTTAAAGACTGAATCTTCCTTTTGGACACAATTTGAATGAGTTTTCTGTTTGTGGCTTCTGTAGTAGATCTTGTACATAGCTCTCTCAATTTTTGGATTATTAATATAAGATTTAGAACGTAGAATGGTTTGGTAGCATTTTGTGTGCCGCTTATGTGCTGCTTACTTTATACTGGCCTTCCTACTCGTGGGCTTCCCACAGGTAGCTGGCTGGTAGCTGTGTGCTGGACTAAAAGGGACATTGGCCTGCTCCAGCAGGCTCTTGGGACGTGGGTGGTGCTGTGGGTTAAACCACAGAGCCTAGGACTTGCCGATCAGAAGGTCGGCGGTTCGAATCCCCGCGACGGGGTGAGCTCCCGTTGCTCGGTCCCTGCTCCTGCCAACCTAGCAGTTCGAAAGCACGTCAAAGTGCAAGTAGATAAATAGGTACCGCTCCAGCGGGAAGGTAAACGGCGTTTCCGTGCACTGCTCTGGTTTGCCAGAAGCGGCTTAGTCATGCTGGCCACATGACCCGGAAGCTGTACGCTGGCTCCCTCGGCCAATAAAGCGAGATGAGCGCCGCAACCCCAGTCGGTCACGATTGGACCTAATGGTCAGGGGTCCCTTTACCTTTACCTTTATCAGGCTCTTAGTTCTTATGTCCTACTACCTACAGAGTTATATTTGATAACAAAGCAATGTGTGCTTAGTTGCACCAAAGCAGGGTGTGTGAGAGAGAGAGTATTAAACGCTCACTGATGACTTGTTAATGGTTCTTTTTATGCATTCTGAAGAAACTGACTAAGGGAAATTCAGCTTTGTCTAGCATTTCTTCACAGTGCTTTAAATTGTATGGCGGCCTTTTACAAACATTCTCCCCCCCCCCCCTTAATGTTTGCATTCCGTTTTTTAGACTGCTGAATTCTAACTCATTTACTATCATACGGGATGATGCCTTTGGTGGTCTGTTCCATCTCGAGTACTTGTAAGTTTCTTCTTTTGTTTACTGTAGTAAACTAAGATTTCTTAAATGGATGAAGCTGCTCTGAAGATTTACCAGTGCACTGTCCCGGAAGGAAATGTTCTTTTCTCTAGATGACATTACATGTTGTGACTCAGGCGGGGCAAGTGAATGCGTGTGAACATTCTCATATTTCTGCTTTCCACTGCAAGATATAATGTGCATACTAGGAACGAATACAATTCCCCAACTGGAGCTGCCTGGGCTCCAGAAACAGGGAGCTCTCGTGCGTTTCTCCACAGGAAATGTACATGAATTCCCATTTAGCACATGGCAACTTGCAGTGGAACGCTGATGTGCAATATTGCTTGCCTTTCTCTTTCTTCAGCACTTAACGTCTAATTATTTCCGGAGGGCTAGCTATGCTTGTCTGTTTCAGCAAAACCAACAGTCTTGTGGCACCTTCAAGTTTGCTAGTCTTTAAGGTGCCACACAACTCTTTGTCGTTAAGCACCGTATAAGGTTTTGCACAAAACTGGAGAAGTTATAGATTACTTTGAACGTGTATTTTGTGTTACATTTCATGTGTTAAGGGTCAGGACTCCACACACTGCAAAGGGGCTTTGAATTGTCTTTTCACAAACAACAGGCCCCCTACCACCAACTGGTCATGTTCAAGCTCTTTGGTGTGCCTGAAGTAGCTCTTTGGATCCCAGCCAACGTGATAATGATTAAGAGCTGGTGATAAATTGGGCACCTCATTCCAGCTGAGACGTATTGTGTGTGGACTCAATAGGAGAGCATTTAAAGCTCACGAAATGTGTCGAATTACTGTGAGTTAAATGATGGAGTTCCACAGAAAAATGGGGAATTTGACCCAAACAAATATATGTTTTCTAAGCGCAGTCATAAAGGGACGTGGGTGGCGCTGTGGTCTAAACCACTGAGCCTCTTGGGCTTGCCGATCAGAAGGTTGGCGGTTCGAATCCCCACAACGGGGTGAGCTCCCATTGCTTGGTCCCTGCTCCTGCCACCCTAACAGTTCGAAAGCACGTCAAAGTGCAAGTAGACAAATAGGTACCTCTCTGGCGGGAAGGTAAAAGATGTTTCCGTGCGCTGCTCTGGTTTGCCAGAAGCAGCTTAGTCAAGCTGGCCACATGACCCGGAAGCTGTCTGCAGACAAATACTGGCTCCCTCGGCCTTTAGAGCGAGATGAGTGCTGCAACCCCAGAGTCGTCTGCGACTGGACCTAACGGTCAGGGGTCCCTTTACCTTTACCTAAGTGCAATCATGTGCTCTGTTGCATCCCAATTGATGCATTTCCCCCTCTGTGCCATAGAATTAATGTCAAAAATAACAAATAAGGATGACAGAAATAGCTACAGCCCTTAATATTACCACTGCATGGTACTGTTGCTGTTTACATTAAAAAATGGAAACACAGCCTCAGCTGTGGTGTGTCATCAGCCAATGCGGCCCTTCGCCACACTTACTTCACTAGCCTCTTAGAACCAGGTGCCTTCCGATTAAACAAAAAAGATGGCTCCCCACCTTCTCACTGACCTCCTTTTCATTCTATATCCTAACCACAAAATAAAAATGCTCACATGCATATATCTCATGCTGCTTCAGAAGGCCAATCCATATTACATATGGTTTTGATTAAGTTAATGCCACGATGACAAGGGAGGGTTACAGATTGGGTGCAAAAAGCAAATGTATTCCCTCTGCCCAAACTTGATTTATACTGTTCCTCCATAACAAAGATCCAACCCAATTCATATTTTAAATGTGACAAACCCTTGGTTTTATGCCAAATAGTCTTAATTTGTTGCTGGGTTGTTGTTTTTTATAAGAAATTGATTTTAGTGACGTAGCCTACTTTAGCTGTGCTTTACACATTTTATGAGCATCTTTGTATGGTGCTTTGAGTTGTTTCTGTAATAAAAAAAAGTAAGGTATAAATGTTGAAATCAGTAAGTCCTTTTCAGTCCTACTGATTTCAGTAGGAGAGATAATCACATAGTTTAATATCTCCCATTGTAACCAGTGGGACTTAAAAGTTCTGGGTCATGAATTTCCTTTTATCTTGGTTCTAGAATTTTGCAGCTTCAACTCAGGAGAGTGGGGTTACAAATGTGTGAAGAACTATAACAGCACAAGCCTATGCATGCTTACTCAGAAGTATGTCCCATTATATTCACTGGGGTTTACTTTCTAGGTGTCCATAGGAGTACAGCTGGGAAGGCAATGTATTCATTATGCTGCAAGCTCCTGGTTTCCTTCATTTCTTTTGCACCTAGTGCCTCTTAAAAAATTATGTTCACAGTTTTTTTCCAAAAAAAATAAAAAAATGTGGCCAAATGCTTGTGCATTGAAACAACACCAGTCCAACCTGGTGATGTTATGAACGTAGGCCAAGTGGCAAAGAGTTAGCCACTGTCTAGTTGGGGCTATTTAAGCAGTATATATGTGTGGGACGCGGGTGGCGCTGTGGGTTAAACCACAGAGCCTAGGACTTGCCAATCAGAATCCCCACGATGGGGTGAGCTCCCGTTGCTCAGTCCCTGCTCCTGCCAACCTAGCAGTTCGAAAGCACGTCAAAGTGCAAGTAGATAAATAGGTACCACTCAGGCGGGAAGGTAAACGGTGTTTTCGTGCGCTGCTCTGGTTTGCCAGAAGCAGCTTAGTCATGCTGGCCACATGACCCAGAAGCTGTACGCTGCTCCCTTGGCCAGTAAAGCGAGATGAGCACCGCAACCCCAGAGTCACCCACGACTGGACCTAATGGTCAAGGGTCCCTTTACCTTTACTTATGTCTCACTCACAGGGACAGTTGTTACATGACAAGCAATAAAAGCATATTGCAGCCTGACCCAAAGTCTAGCAAGAGCCCTGCTGCTCACACAAAGCTCCTGAGGGTGACTCTCGTGTGTGCACTGAAATGAGCAGTTTGGTTAATGGAGGCTTTTGTTAATCAGACCACATCAGACACTTAAGCCAAGAAAAGTGGAATAATTGGTGCTATTTTTATAGAAAAAGAGGTGCCGGAACTCACAGCAATGGCACCCACATGAGAGGTGCCGGAATAGAGTTCCAGCGAGTTCTGTCTGGGGAAAAAGCCCTGGGAATAATGCTGTTCACTTTTTATTCAGTATTTGCTTTTGTTCTTCTACCAGACGAACTGAAACATTCTCTTTAACATGTGTCTTTCAATCAAATCTTTCTGCATAGATTTATTGAAGGAAACAAGGTAGAAACCATTTCAAGAAACGCATTTCGTGGCCTTCGAGATTTGACACACCTGTAAGTCTTTTAATGCTACTTTGAATTATTTATATCTTGCCCCAAACTAGATTTTCCAGTACCTGCACTGTAGGTACAGCTATGGCATTTTTCTCACTTCACTACATAAGCTGCAGTGGGCTGTGCAAAACTGAAACAAGAAATGTTCTAGCCCTCATTGTTGGATAAAGTCATTTTTTTTTTTGTTAAGACTAAAGAATCAAATGAACCTAGAATAGGTGGTGGGAGGCAACGTATTCTGTGTTCTTCATGTGCTCTACAAGACACTTAGATTGCAATCACCTCATGGTTTACATAAAAACAGCTTCTTCTCCAGAGCGATCTCGGCCCTGAATGGGAAGCCCAGACTTTGAAAGTCATCTAATCTCCCTTGCTGTATTATACTGTATTGATTAATTAGAGTTTTTATGGAGCAGTCAAGTAATTTTGTTGTCCCCGAAGGGGGCAATGACAATAAAGATATTATTATTATTATTATTATTATTATTATTATTATTATGAGAAACACATTGTGTGGAGTCAATTTTAGGGGTGTTTCTTTCATGGTAAATGATTACAGTCATACCTTCGGTTAAAGTTGCTTCAGATTGAGCATTTTCGGGTTGCACTCCGCAGCGACCCAGAAGTAACGGAACACGTTACTTCCGGGTTGCGCCACTCGTGCATGCGCAGATGCTCAGAATGACATCACACGCATGCGCAGAAGCAGTGAATCACGACCCGCGCAGACGCGGATTGCGTTCTCTTCAGGATGCGAACGGCGCTCCGGAACGGATCCCGTTTGCATCCAGAGGTACCACTGTATTGGTGTCATAAGACAATGTCTGAATATTTCACGGCTAGTTCAAAATATAAACTATTTCGTAATGTGGGGAGTAAACGTGTCAGATTTTGCAAGAGTCCCAGACAAGCCTGGCATTTAGCAACATCATTAGGCATCAGCTGGGGTCCCTGCGCTGGTCAAGAAGGTCGGGTCAGGGGTCTCCGACTCACTAACCCAGAACATCAGAAATTGCAAATCAACATGATAATTTTTAAATATCCTTATCTGCATGTTCCAACATATGCACAAGGCAACATGTATGTCTAATTACTTTCCCTCCTCTTCATTTCTGGACCCAATGAGAAGCAGGAAGAGCCATAATGGCTGCTCAGGGGCTTAATGAGGCAGCCAATGAGCATTTTCTGTTAAAAGCAGGAAGAACTTGTTCCTAAAGTTGATTGTGTGAGGGAGGCTGGGCATGTGGCCTAGAAGGAGCGAATGCAAATTCAGCAGGCTCATTACTGTACTTAAAATACATAATTCTACCTTTGTAGGTGTACTTTCTTCATCCTAAGCCACAAAACCAGAACGAAATCTGTTTGATGGCACCTTGAGACTAGTTTTTGCAAAGCTGGTCATTACAAACTTATAAACAAGAGCTGCGACTTTCTATTCTCATGAATTAAGTCAGGAGTGTTAAGGTTTCCATTAACGTTCAAGGGTTTTGCGTAATTCATTCATAATCCTATTAGTCATTGTCAACATTGGGAATTGGGCATCATCCAACGGTTAACATTAGCTAAGTGCTGCTCTATTTAGTGATTATCATCTCTTCAACTATTTTAACACCTAACTTTACTTTTTCCAGTTCTTTGGCCAATAACCAGATTAAAGCTTTGCCAAGGGATGTCTTCAGTGATTTAGATTCTCTGATTGAACTGTAAGTAAAGCCAACCAAACCATTTGTGGTGTTGTTTTTGCAAGCCTGTGTGGGTTTCTAAACTCCGAGTTTGGAATTTGGAATATTGTTTGTCGTTTGAACTGATTCTGAAAACAAATACATCAACCGGCACTTGCTTTCTGGTAGCCTGATTCCAGATTGCCAAGTGAAATATTTTTCATTACCTTTTTGCTAACGTTCTCATGATAGCAATAGTCATGGTAATTAATTCTTCTGCATGGGTGCTTTATCTAACATTTGGGTGCATGCGACCATCCACTTTTAAATTATATATTGCTAAGTAAATATATATATTCTCAAGTAACATGTACATCACTTGAGTTGCCATCTCTCAATTATTCAACACTTGGTGACTGAAAGCTGAATATATGAAATGACTCCACGAATAGAATGTGCCCTTATCCGACACAAAGAAACGTGTGCAAACTAGGGGCATTTGCACATTTTACTGACTCAAAAGCCCACCTAACTTTTTTCAGATCTCACTAGACACCTTAGAATTCCAGCCCATTGACAGCATTTCCAGTGTACTTCTGGGCCAAATTTGATGTTAAATTGAATTACTTTGTTACTTTCCTCCATATTTCTTTTAAACCAAAAGCAGTACAGTGGTACCTCGGGTTAAGTACTTAATTCGTTCCGGAGGTCCGTACTTAACCTGAAACTGTTCTTAACCTGAAGCACCATTTAACTAATGGGGCCTCCTGCTGCCACTGCACCGCCGGAGCACGATTTCTGTTCTCATCCTGAAGCAAAGTTCTTAACCCGAGGTACTATTTCTGGGTTAGCGGAGTCTGTAACCTGAAGCGTATGTAACCTGAAGCGTATGTAACCCGAGGTACCACTGTATTGACAAGCTGCCATGCAGGACTGAAGAAGGGCATGTAGAGATAGCCTTCATGCTATCTTTCAACTCAAAATTGCCCACCTTGCAAGGGGAAAGATATGGGATCCTTCATCTTTTCACCCAAGCGTGGGAAAGTAGCTGGGCGTGTATGTGGACAAAATGCAGGACTGGAAAGGGTTTAGCAGCCACCTTCCCCCTCCAGCTGATCTTCGGTTCTCCATTCCAGTCTCTGGGGAAAACAAATAAGGAAGGAGGGTTGGAAAAGAGACCCACAGAAATCTAGTATAGTTGACTGACTTGGTTTCGAAAAAGTGTAAGTGAATCAGGGATGCAATCCTCAAAGCCATACTCTGTTTCCAGTGTCACACCAGTCACAATGCCCTAGTTTAAGCGCTTATTCAACAGTGCATTTTTGTGAAAGTGCAGATATACTAAAAGCCACATTCAGCAGTAACCTTTTAGAGATCTGCTTGGGAGGAGGCTCTGTTCCAAAATTTTAAATGTACTCCAAGGTTTCTTTGTGTGGTTTAGGTTTTTTTTAATGTCGATAGAAATGCTTGTGATATTTTGTGGTTTATGCAAGAACAGCTGGCACGATGGGGCAGGGAAGTACGATGGTGGAGGCTGGGGCTCTGCGGGTGCCCCACCCTGATAAACAGCAGTGATGCTGGTGTCAGAAAAGCAACAATGTCCCGCTACACCAGCCGCTCCTGGGTTTCTGCCACCTAATACAGTGGTACCTCGGGTTACATACGCTTCAGGTTACATACGCTTCAGGTTACAGACTCCACTAACCCAAAAATAGTACCTCGGGTTAAGAACTTGACCTCAAGATGAGAACAGAAATTGTGTTCTGGCAGCGCGGCAGCAGCAGGAGACCCCATTAGCTAAAGTGGTGCTTCAGGTTAAGAACAGTTTCAGGTTAAGAACAGACCTCCAGAACGAATTAAGCACTTAACCTGAGGTACCACTGTATTACCAAAAAGCATAACACAGGAGGAAATAAATAAATGACTCTCCCATACAGGAAATCTATATTGCATTTACAGTGGTACCTCGGGTTACAAATGCTTCAGGTTACAGACGCTTCAGGTTACAGACCCTGCTAACCCAGAAATAGTTCCTCGGGTTAAGAACTTTACCTCAGGATGAGAACAGAAATCGTGCTGTGGTGGTGCGGCGGCAGCGGGAGGCCCCATTAGCTAAAGTGGTGCTTCAGGTTAAGAACAGTTTCAGGTTAAGAATGGACCTCCAGAATGAATTAAGTTCTTAACCCGAGGTACCACTGTACAGTGCTGCCGCGCCGCCAAAGCAAGATTTCTGTTCTCATCCTGAAGCAAAGTTCTTAACCTGAAGCACTATTTCTGGGTTAGCAGACTCTGTAACCTGAAGCGTATGTAACCCGAGGTACCACTGTACTATCTATCTATCTATCTATCTATCTATCTAGAGTGCCTTTTCCGCAGGGCAACATGCATGCTGTCAATCATCCCACCCACATTTTACATTTACCACAACCCTGTGAAGTAGCTGACACTGAGAGAGAAAGTCCAAGGTTACCCATATAAGAGTTCATCGGAGGAAGTGGGTAATAAAAATATGGTAACCTTCAGCTACCAATATAATAATCCTTGGAAAGTATTATATTAGATCTCCTAAATAATGGGAAATGATTGTTCCACCAAATTAATACAGTGGTGCCCCGCAAGACGAATGCCTCGCAAGACGGAAAACCCGCTAGACGAAAGGGTTTTCCGTTTTGGATGTGCTTCGCAAAAAGAATTTCCTATGGGCTTGCTTCGCAAGACGAAAATGTCTTGCGAGTTCCTGCGTTTTTTGTTTCCTTTCCCCTCCCTTTTTCCCAAGCCGCTAAGCCGCTTATCAGCTGATCCTAAGCCGCTAAGCCGCTTAACAGCGATCCGCTAAGCCGCTTATCAGCTGATCCGCTAAGCCGCTTAACAGCTGATCCGCTAAGCCGCTTATCAGCTGATCGCTAAACCGCTAAGCCGCTTATCAGCTGATCCACTAAGCCCGCTAAGCCGCTAATAGCGCTAATCCGCTAAGCCGCTAATGGGCTTGCTTCGCAAGACGAAAAAACCGCAAGACGAAGCGGAACGGATTCTTTTCCTCTTGCGAGGCACCACTGTAAGTGTGTTCTTTAGGTTATGCACAATATACTTTGTGACAGCTTGTATTCACAGATATATTTACAGCATAGAGTTATCTCAACAAATTTGCAGCATGTTACAACCCCTTATGTATTTCACCTGTACAACCTCCAAGCATTTTAACATCACCACCTCCCCACCCCATGTAGAAAGCAGGGTTTGTGGGCTGTCAACTTTTTGACCAGAATCAGTTTTGAACTGTTCTAATGTTCTTTGAGTTAAATATTACAAGTAACTTGAAGAAATACTTGACTGTTGGCTCAATAACAACCTTTTCAAATCTGTTTTTTTTTTTATGTGACCTTTTAGAGATTTAAGGGGAAATAAGTTTGAATGTGACTGCAAAGCCAAGTGGTTGTTTTTGTGGTTAAAGATGACCAATTCCACTGTTTCTGATGTCCTGTGTGTTGGTCCAGCCGAATTTCAGGACAAGAAGTTAAATGATGTCTCAAGTTTTGATGACGAATGCACCACTACAGGTATATTTCATAGCAAATGAATAATGAGAAGTCTGAGCTATGCAAGTCCACGAACCAAGAACGCTGATAAGGTGTTTTCCCAGACTGCTGTTCTGCTAGCATTGACACAAATGTCCTATTTTTAATTGTCCCAGTTTATTATTTACATGGCAAGTGATGACAGCTTAGTTAAAAAGCTAATCCTTATTTCTCAGAAATCCACTCCTTTGTGTGTAAAATGTTCTCCTTCTACCTAATTCTTAATCTTCTCCTACATCCCTGCTTCCTGACACCTTCTGTTCTGTTGTTTTTCTGAAACACTTACTAGTAAGGCCTAGTAAGCCTTACTTCTGATTAAGCATATGTAGTATTGCACTGTTAGAATGGATTTGTCTTCCTGGATCTGCTCAGACAAAGGAAGGTAAGACAAGACTAATGGTAGAATTAAAGGTTATGGACTTCATGGCTCTGTTGGCAAAAACTGTGATCTAGTGTCTCATTCCCAGTAGCATGTAGTGACACGATTACCCTGTGTCGTCACTTCACCACAACTGTATATTTTCCCTCTCTTGCTAGTGGCAGCTAATGTAGAGAAGTGGAGTGGGGAAACAGTTTAGGGACCGCATGCTGTGCGATGCGTCTCGCTCAGGGCACAGGGGAGAACTAAATATAGACAGTGATGTTTTCAACACCAGCCCTGTGTCCTTCTGTCGCATCTAGTTCAACTTTAAGTTCTCCGTTTTGCTAGTATGAACCTGGATTCAAAGAATGGGCAGCTTTTTCTCCCTGCACGTGAAGTCAAAGCTTCAAGTGCCATTTAATACTTAATAATAGTAATAATAATAAAGGGACGTGGGTGGCGCTGTGGGTTAAATCACAGAGCCTAGGACTTGCTGATCAGAAGGTCAGCGGTTCGATTCCCCGCGACGGGGTGAGCTCCCATTGCTCGGTCCCTGCTCCTGCCAACCTAGCAGTTCTAAAGCACGAAGTGCAAGTAGATAAATAGGTACCACTCCAGCGGGAAGGTAAACGGCGTTTCCGTGCACTGCTCTGGTTTGCCAGAAGTAGCTTTGTCATGCTGGACACATGACCCGGAAGCTGTACGCCGGCTCCCTCGGCCAATAAAGCAAGATGAGTGCCACAACCCCAGAGTTGGTCACGACTGGACCTAATGGTCAGGGGTCCCTTTACCTTTACTACTACTACTAATTTATTTGTACCCCGCCCATCTGGCTGGGTTTCCCCAGCCACTCTGGGTGGCTTCCAACAAAAGATTAAAAATACATTGAAACTTCAGTGATTAAAAACTTCCCTAAACAGGGCTGCCTTCAGATGTCTTCTAAATGTCAGGTAGTTGTTTAACTCTTTGATTGTGTGCAGCAGGCACACAAACCCACAAGAACTCCTGAGTGTGGGGATCCTCCTCTCTTTCACATGCATGCATGTCTCTTTTAATATTCTGATATCAGCAATAGTAGAATAGCAGAGACATCACCTAGCCAACAAAGGTCCATATAATTAAAGCTATGGTTTTCCCAGTAGTGATGTATGGAAGTGAGAGCTGGACCATAAAGAAGGCTGATCACTGAAGAATTGATGCTTTTGAATTATGGTGCTGGAGGAGACTCTTGAGAGTCCCATGGACTGCAAGAAGATCAAACCTAACCATTCTGAAGGAAATCAGCCCTGAGTGCTCACGGCAAGGACAGATCCTGAAGCTGAGGCTCCAATACTTTGGCCACGTCATGAGAAGAGAAGACTCCCTGGAAAAGACCCTGATGCTGGGAAAGATGGAGGGCACAAGGAGAAGGGGACGACAGAGGACGAGATGGCTGGACAGTGTTCTCGAAGCTACAAACATGAGTTTGACCAAACTGCGGGAGGCAGTGGAAGACAGGAGTGCCTGGCGTGCTCTGGTCCATGGGGTCAAGAAGAGGCGGACACGACTTAACAACAAAGAATAGCAGCATCCCCCCCCCCCCATAGAATTGTAGGAGAAGGAAATTCTTGGCAAGTCATTCACATACCTTGGACATCAAAAAACTCTCCCTGCCCCCCCCCCCATTTGTTCAGGTTTCATAATGGCAAAGGGCTTTGTGCTCTCCAGCATTACAAGAGCAAACTGTCAGAGCTGAGAAATCTTGTTTAGGGGGCGATATAAAAGTAGATTAGTCTTACTATAAACTCCCAAGACAAAATGCGAAATGCAAGTAAGGAGGCAGGAAGATTTAAGCACTCAGTGGGAAATCTTAAGAGTGCCAGAAAATGTACCAAAAGTAAAGACTGAAATAAACTGACATCAAAATGAGAAAGGATTGAAATTTCCCTGGAGTGTATGAAGAAAAAGTGTCTATCCATAGGCAAAGCCTGTTGCTATTGGTATGTCTTTACTTTTTGTAGAGGACCATGCTTTGTTGTTGTTGTTGTTTAGTCGTTTAGTCGTGTCCGACTCTTCGTGACCCCATGGACCAGAGCACACCAGGCCTTCCTGTCTTCCACTACCTCCCGCAGTTTGGTCAAGCTCATGCTGGTAGCTTCGAGAACACTGTCCACCCATCTCGTCCTCTGTCGTCCCCTTCTCCTTGTGCCCTCCATCTTTCCCAACATCAGGGTCTTTTCCAGGGATTCTTCTCTTCTTATGAGGTGGCCAAAGTATTGGAGCCTCAGCTTCAGGATCTGTCCTTCCAGTGACCACTCAGGGCTGATTTCCTTCAGAATGGATTGATTTGATCTTCTTGCAGTCCATGGGACTCTCAAGAGTCTCCTCCAGCACCATAATTCAAAAGCATCAATTCTTCGGCGATCAGCCTTCTTTACGGTCCAGCTCTCACTTCCATACATCACTACTGGGAAAACCATAGCTTTAACTATATGGGCCTTTATTGGCAAAGTGATGTCTCTGCTTTTTAAGGACCATGCTTAGGCCATGCAATTACTATCAGTGGTGTATCAGCAATGCTAAACTAACTGTTGCGTGTTTAGTAGAGTTATAGCTTCCGTCATTTACTTCTCCAGAAGTGTGTAGTGATTATTTTGAGTTCAGTGGGGGATGTGCATAAATACTGGTGACTGTTAGATTTCACATGATGGCGTGAAGATTCTTCACTAACAGAGGTCTTCTGCATTGACCGGTCAACATGCCTAGTCTTCCAAGTGCTGTTGAGGTGTATGTACAGGTAGACAATGTCAACCAGAAAGTATGTATACTGGTATGTCAACATAAATAGGAGATTGGGCCTGGCTGTTGCGCAGAACTGACACAAATGCCGTGCTTATTCGCTGAACCATGTTTGAAACATTTCTGATACTTTCACATTCTCTAGTATTTGCTGACCGTTATCTTCACTCACCAGACCATGTGTAAAATTCCCTGTTGATGCTGTCGGTTGGTGCACATTCTCCTAGTGCCTTCCTGTGAATGTGCACAATCACCTGTGTTTATATACATTCACCAATTCATTGACGCTGCATACCTAGTTTGAGGCCGTAGTTAAGATCATATTCTGTGAGTTGTGATTCTCTGGTTCAAGACCTGACTCAACCATGTGGGATGTCTTTAAGCAAGTAACTATCTCTCACCCAAGGGGCGCGGGTGGCACTGTGGGTTAAACCACAGAGCATAACACTTGCCAATCAGAAGGTTGGCGGTTCGAATCCCCACGATGGGGTGAGCTCTCGTTGCTCAGTCCCAGCTGCTGCCAACCTAGCAATTTGAAAGCGTGTCAAAGTGCAAGTAGATAAATAGGTACCACTCAGGTGGGAAGGTAAACAGCGTTCCCGTGCGCTGCTCTGGTTCGCCAGAAGCGGCTTAGTCATGCTGGCCACATGACCCGGAAGCTGTACGCCGGCTCCCTCGGCCAATAGAGTGAGATGAGCGCCGCAACCCCAGAGTCGGTCACGATTGGACCTAATGGTCAGGGGTCCCTTTACCTTTACCTCTCACCACCACTACTGCTCATGGGCATAATATATTTGCCTACTATGCTGTTAGGATTATGGAAAATGTGGGGAAAGTAGTATCTAAATACTAAAAAAAATATTGTTTATATTTACTCCATGTATTGTAACCTGTAAATATCACACAGCAAACTACAGGCTGGTGGCTTGTAGTCTTTGGTGGGTTGAAACTCGCATAGTAACTGACCAAAGGCTTTTTGAACATGGTAGTCAGAGGGGCATCATCCAGTCACACAGCTGATCAACAGCTACACATGAGAATGTTGGATAAAATCAGCGAAATGTGTTATAGTTTTCAAAACAACTGCAGGAGAAGGAAAATGCTGAGAAAGCAAAGCAATTCTATTAGTGAAGGAACAATCTGACGGCCCACCTCTAGAAAGGAAATTCATTTTTTAATAGAGTGTTCCAGCAGTGTGAAGTGAAATTCTTTAGAATCCATACTGTGAAACAAGTTGCTGGGATGCCCTCCTTTGCTACTGACTTCTGTCATTTCAGAGCAAACTGGATACATCGTTTAAGACTTTCCTTTTCAGAGTCCCCCCACAAAAGGGTAGGACCATCTGTATATATTAGTTAATTCAAAATTTCAAACTTTAAGACTTACAAGATACTGTAGGTATCAGAAACCAGAAGAGGCACAGAGGATATAGTCACAGAAAGGCACAGTGTGTGGAAACATGTGTCTTTTAGCACATAATATATCATTGGAGTTAAGACCAAAATTATGTAGGACATTGTCAGACTCATGTCTTTAACTGTGCAGGTCTGCTTCTGATCAGGTGAAAGTGACTTCAAGTGAAAAAAAGGAGTAAGGTAAAGGTAAAGGGACCCCTGACCGCTAAGTCCAGTCGTGGCCGACTCTGGGGTTGTGCCGCTCATCTCGCTTTACTAGCCGAGGAAGCCAGCATATAGCTTCCGGGTCATGTGGCCAGCATGACTAAGCTGCTTCTGGTGAACCAGAGCAGCGCACAGAAACGCCATTTACCTTCCCGCCAGAGCGGTACCTATTTATCTACTTGCACTTTGACATGCTTTCGAACTGCTAGGTGGGCAGGAGCAGGGACCGAGCAACGGGAGCTCACCCCGTCGTGGGGATTCGAACCGCCGACCTTCTGATTGGCAAGTCCTAGGCTCTGTGGTTTAACCCACAACGCCCCCCGCGCCCCCCCAGGAGTACATGGGTTTAAATTCATACTTCATTCTGCTCCCCCCCCCCCCCGAAGACTGTTCCCCAAAGTAATTTTTCCAAGCCAGGGTTTTCCAGAGAGAAATCAGCACAACGTGTCTGTTTTATGTTTTCTGCCATGTTCAATTGTAACATTTTTGTTGTTTTTAATTACAAACATTTCTTTTCAGATTTTGTGGTTCATCAGATTTTACCCTACCAGTCAGTTTCAGTGGACACATACCACTCAAACAATGACGTGTATGTTGCCATTGCTCAGCCCAGCATGGAAAATTGCATGGTGCTAGAATGGGATCACATTGAGAAGAACTTCAGGAGTTATGACAACATTACTGGTAAAAATGAACACATAATTCTTATTTGTTATATTACTTAATTGATTATTAGTGCCTTTTTTTTTTAAGTATCCGAGTATCAGGAAAAAATGCATATTGAAAAGAATATCTCTTGCTGATCTCTGCTGAGTTTAGGTTGGATCCACTGAAAAATAAAAAATAGTTTAGTCTAGTTCACTAACAAAATGGTTATCATTATGATGGATAGAATATGAGTTCATATATTGCAGGATCCTCAGAGGGTCACAAGATGCCACACTCTAGTTTGACCAAGAAATGGAATGCAAAGCAGAGCTATGCAGCAATAAGTAAACTTGATTCTTCAGTATGGAGTACAGTAACACTATAGACCAAAGCAGACGAAATGTTAGAGATCAAATCTCTTTTAACCCTTAAAAAAAACCAAAAAGCAACCCTCAGCATCAGAGGTGGGGGGGATTAAATTCAAACCTTGGAACTTAAGAGAGGGGGTATTAACCCTGCCATACTTTTTCTCAATATGGGGGGGGGCGGGGCTTCCAGACTGTCACTATTTTGGGGTGGGATTCAATCATAAACTGGCAAATTCAGGGTATGCAATTAAAGTTGATGGGCATTTTTATGCGACAACCCAGCTTGACCAAAATACTGGATATATATTTTTGCTATAACGGAAGTGAGACAAAGATTCACTGGACAGTGTGGAATAATGTTTGCTTTGACACAATGTCATCTGACCTCCCCATAAGCAAATTAGAACGAATGCTCATCAAATAGCCAATGTCATCTAATCTCCCTGCAATTGGAGGTGGTGCCACCACAGTCTTAGAAAGAGAGGCCCAATATTATTGTTTAGCCCTGCCCAGATCAACCAAGCATTCTTTGCCCCCTCTTATCTTGAGTCCTCCTCCTGAAGGTTTGAGCTGGGTGTTTTTTTGTCTCCAACCAAATCTTCATGTTCCCTCATACAAACACTTTGCTCGCACCTGTGAGGAGATGAGGCAAGAGCAGCAACAAAATTGTTGCTTAGAATTGTAGAGTTGGAAGGGACCTTGAGGATCTGTGCAGGTCCCGGGGGGGTGTTACCGTGCGGCGTGGTCCGTGTCCGGTCCAAGGCCGAAGAGGGGTCCAAGGCAGGGAGTCGGGAGTGGTCAGGAACTCTGGCAGAAGAGCAGGACAGGGTGCCGGCAGGAACAGGTAACCAACCATGTTGCTCCCGCAACTTGGGACTGGGGCTGGCCGGCTTTTATCTGCCCCGAGGCATAGGGCAGCCCCGGTACACAGGTGATTCGCCTCTCCTGGCCTGGAGGCGAGCACTCCTCCTGTGAGAACTTAGTTCCCTCCGCCTCTCTGCCCTGAGCCTCTGCAGCTCAGGAGAGGCTGGAGGGTTACCGGACTCAGAGGCAACCTCACCTTCCCCTGACAGGGCTGGGAGAGGAGCACCTGCAGGCAATGGGTCCTCGATCACCTCCGGAGCCAGAGCGGATTCAACTGGTGTCTGCTCCTGAGGATCTGGCACAGGTGAGGGCCCTTCAGGTTCAAGCCCCTGCCCCGGCTCAGCCGGCCCTGGAGGTGGGGACTCCTGTGCCGGCTGGGATTCCTCAGGTTCAGCCTCTGAATCAGATTCCCAGGCCATCACAGGATCATCTAGTCGAACCACCTGCAATGCAGGAATATGCAGCTGTCCTATACGGGGACTGAACCTGTAGCCATGGCATTATCAGCACCACGCTCTAACCAACTGAGCTATCCAGGCTGATGCGCTTGAGAAAAATGAATCACAAACCTTTGTAATGAAAGATGCTCCACTGCATTTATTCGTTGACTTCTCTCACTTCAGAGGATTCTATCAATTTGGCAAGTAGGAATCCACAATGGCCAACTCAAAATGTTAGTCAATCACTTCCTGCCCCTTTCTTCCTCCCATTTCTACCTTAAGACATGATGATGATGTTTTCTTCAAATCTTCTCTTTCCCTTCCCATTCTATTCTCCCTCTTTGCACATGACAGCACAAAATAAGCTCCATGTTACTAGTTGCTAGATAATAAATGACAGTATGATGCTTATTGAACTGCATTAGGTCTGATTATGATAAACAGGCCCGTTAGCATGCAAGAAACTGTTCCAATTCACTGTCATTCCCCATGCTCCTGGGGATTTTTCTGCCAAAAAATCTAGACTCTGAACTAAAGTAGGGAGGTCTGAACTGATCTATCCTTTTATGTCTTAACTAGACTTTAGGGCAGAGATGGGGGAAATTGTAACTCATGAGCAACCTTCTGGGAGCCTTATGCCAGTAGAGAGTGGGACCAGAGGCAAAAGTAGATGGAGCAATGGGTGTGTACAGTACAGCAGGCAACACAAATGTCATGGGTTTACACACACACACACACACACACACACACACACTCACTCCTCTTCATCCTCTATCCAAGGAAGCAATAAGTATTATTGCTGTTTAAGGACAGATTTCAGCCAAGCCAAATACTCATTTCGGGACATTTAAAGCGTTCCTGACACCAATAATTAAAAACAATCATGAACATATTGTCACGGTTGCTTCATTTGCTGGGCATTTACCGTATTTTTCGATCTATAGGACACACTTTTCCCCCTCCAAAAATTAAGGGGAAATGTGTGTGCGTCCTATGGAGCGAATGCAGGCTCCTTGGCTTCGCGTTGCTTTGGCTGAAGCAAGACTCTCCCGGCTTCAGCAGAGAGGGAGAGCTGCGCAGCGCCCCTTCAGCAAAGCGGGAGGAGAAATGGAAGTGGCTCCGTTTCTCCTGCCGCTTCACTGAAGGGGCGCTGAGCAGAGAGGGGGAGAATTTTTTTTTCTTGTTCTCCCCCTCTAAAACAAGGTGCGTCCTATGGTCGGGTACGTCCTATAGAGCGAAAAATACGGTAGGCGTTCCATGCATGGTTTGCTACAGTTCAAGCAAGTGGAGTGCTGTAGGATTTCATGAGAGTCCGAAAGAGGAGATGAGCCTTTTGAAAATGGATGGGATTGAAACAACATGCATGTGCCCGGTTTTTATGAACACTGACTCTGTAAAACTCCTTAAGGCAATGTGCCCTTTGGTAGAGGTGGAAGCCAAAGCATTAATGGAAGGAAGACTTACTAACCAGAAAATGATTTTTCTTCCACGGTGGGCCAAATTTCACCAACTTATGAAGTGTTTGCCAGAACGTGCTTCTAATACCGTCATGAATGCCGTCATGTTGTTTCAAATTATTTAAATGATTAAACGATTGGTTAATTCCACAATATGATGGGGGGAGGAAGGATGGCTATAGTAAGGGGTGTAGCTCAGGGCTATATAGAGAGATTTGAGGGCCGCATTCAGTTCCCATCCCTGCTTTAGGAGACTGTTGGGACACATCCCTTAGAAGGGGGGATCCCTTATTGCCCTGCAAGGTCAGGTTCTTCACAGGATGGGGAAGTGAAGAAGCATCTGGATCTCTACAGGATCATTTTATGTGAGCTGGTCAAGCCAAGGCATCTGAACAAAGGAGTGAGACAACACTGCATGCCAGAGAGACAGGCTGATTTTTGTTCCTATGGGCAGGTGAGGAAAATGTAACATGAGAAGCAGGTAGTAGGAACTAGAATCTTATAATAACTACGCAGTTAGGAATACACTGAGGCAAAGCAGACCCTGTCAGCTGTGCTCCGTTTTTGCTGTGTTCTGCAGAGCAAGTCAGCTAACAGAAAATGGAGGCTTAACTGGGGACAAATGGCAATAACCAGTTGCACTGGGCATGGGATGGTGCAAGGCCAGTAAAGCTGATTTGGCACAAGAAGGAGGCCCGTAGTTTTAGACACAGTCCATTTATTTACATACTACATATGACAAACTCAGAATGCATTGTGCTCAAAGCAATTCACAAAGGAGACAGTTTAAGATCAGTGTTTAATAAGTAAACAGAATACGCTGCAATATACCATATACATTTTAGCAATTACAATTTATTTATAACATATCAAAACATACCAACATGTCAGTTGACAGTATCCAGTACCATTAATACTAGCATTATACCCAAATTAAGGCACCTAGCAATAAGAAAGCTTACCCACACCAAACTAACAGCTAAAAAGGAGAAAAATAATACAAACAAAGTCAAACTACTCTTTTTTTTTTTAATTGAGAAGCAAAGCAGCTAGTAAGCCTGATCTTTATTAAAGCTGTTGCAACAGGGTTCCCCCCCCACGCAGGAGAGAGGAGGAGAACCCTGAACCATGCGCACAAGCCCTTATATAGACTTTTGAACTGCTCACTCTGGAGCCCCAAACCACCCCTCCATACATCATAAAAACATCACAGAAGGGGTGTAGCCCAAGACCACCTCCAGTACATCATACATACATCAGAAGGGACGGTCTAAAACAGAATCCTGTGTTGTTTATCTCCTGTCTGCCAGGTTACCTGATTGGATTACCTGAGCATCCTGGCCACTCTTTTGTTATGATAACTACTGGTACTCAATTCATAGCTGTCAACTTACAGATTTGAAAGTAAGGGACCAGCAGCCTTGAAAATAAGGGACCAGCAGCCTCACCTGTTCCAGGCACTCCAGTCTTTCTGTCCTCCTGCAGTCTGGTCAAACTCATGCTGGGTAGCTTTGAGAACACTGTCCAACCAACTTTGTAACCAGAGGTTCAACTGAATAGAATCTGAATCACATGCACCACAAGGCCTATGCAGCCTCAACTTAAGATGGCTCCCCGGCCTGGCTTTGCACTGCAAAGTTTGCAGCAGCACGTGCAACAAAATGGCATCCAGCATTCAAAACCCCCTCAGCTTGCATTAACTAGCCACACACAAGGCATGCAAGCTCCACCCCCCAGTCGTTCTTAGACTGCTTATTGGGTGAGCAACACAGCCAAGCAACGCAGTTGGAGCCTCCCTCCTCCCTGGCCGGCAGGGAGTGAGGAAGAGGAGCTGCTTCCTTTGAAATTTAAGGGACAGCAGCAGGACATGGCGCTGGAATAAGGGACTGTCCCTTCAAATAAGGGACACTTGACAGCTATGACTCAATTCCTGAATCCAGGCCACAGGCTCACCCTATTCCAGGGGTCAGCAAGGCTTATCGGGCACGCCAGATCACTCCCGCAGAGATCCTCCGTGGGCTAGGCCAGCGCAGCGCAATGCCGGAAATCGCATCTGCGCATGTCTGCGGCGCTGCGAATTGCTTTTGCGCATGCCCAGACGCCGGAAAGCGCACATGCGCAGAAGCAATTTCCAGAGCCACAGAAGAGAGTCCCTGCGCTGCGCTAAGTCAAACTACTCTTAGCCTCTAACCAATCATGCTACATCACTATGCACAAATGCAACCAAGATGTCCCAATTAAAAGGGACAATTTTTCCAGATGATACCCCCTCCCCTAACTTGACCCCACCTCTAGCTTTGAAAGAGAAGGCACAATGACCACAAGGCACTTCAGACAACCCACCCTGTAATAGAAGGAGACCCTTTTCTCACCAGGTTCCTGTATCCTGAACCAAAACTCACGCTCATGGAAAAACTCTGGTTCTAGACAGCACAGCACCAGAAGAGGCAAGATGGAGAAAACTTCTCCCCTGCCAAAGGTTCTCACTGACATGTATTAGATGCTCTAGCTCACCCTCACAGTGGTTTTGCTCCCAGAAGATCTGTGGTCTGAGCCTGACAAGGAGGTTTTTAAGAGGTTGACATTGCAATCCTATGAATGTCTACTCAGAAGTAAAACCCATTGAGTTCATGGGACTTACTCACAGGTAAGTGTCCAGGATTGCAGCCAAGGAATTGTTCAGCACTGCCTATTTGGTGATTCTCAGCTCATATTTTCGCTGACCTTTCACTTGAAACTATTGCACTTGAAAAAAACAAATGCAAAACATCATGTTTGTTGTTTGTTCAAGTTAGTCAATTTATGGTGTTTAGGTGAATTTTTTAAAAAATGTTGGGTGTTGTAGAAAGATGATGTTCCCCTTAGCAAGGACAGGAAGTAGGTTGCTGTATGGATAGGACATTTTTAGGGTCAAATCAAGTCTATTTCAGCATGGCTGATTCTTTCAAAGAAAGGGCTTTCTTGTTGATCAGCAGCAAACACTCGAGGTTGTTAAGGCTGAAAGGCTACTATGCTGATTTTTAAAATCTGTAAATGTAGCAGTCCTTTCGCTCAGTAGCTCTGCACCAGTCACTAATGCTCTTATGCTCTCAAGAGGTGTTTCCAAGACTACTTTGGTGGATGCCTCCAGTCACAACATTTACTGGAAGGACCAGCAAAAATTATTTAAATGAGCTAACAACAGGAGGGGTCCATAAATATGACTGGCAGAGTTGACTCCAGTATTCCTTGTTTGGGACTCCAAGAATCTCATGGGTTGGGATATATATAGCCTGGTGAACTATCATCGATTGGGTTTGCTCAGGCTACGGCTCCCTGTACAGCAGATGGGAAACTTGTGGTCCTTCAGTTTTCAGGCTACAATTCCAAGATCCCTGAACGTTGGTCATGTTGGCTGGGAATGATGGCGGGCCACAGGTTCACCATCCTTCCTCTACAGGCACAGAAGTTACTCTTTTTTTGCTGTAAGTATTAGGAATCTGGCCTCTTGTCTTTACCTGGTCAACAGAGGAATAATTTGTCTTTCCTGTGTTTCAGGCTCTGGCTACCAGCTCAAGCTAGAGAGTTTTCTAAGAACCTTAGCTTGATTGCCTAGATCAGAGATGAGGAGTCTGTAGCCCTCCAGATGATCACAGACTCCAGTTCCCATCAGCATTATGACTGATGGTCAGAGATTATGGGAGTTGTACTCCAGCAACATTGTAAAGATCTATCTTTTTGCCCTGGCTTTCACCGACCCTTAAGATTGTTTTTGTTTTAATTCTCAGAACTGCTATTTTAGATGCTTTTATACTACTGTTACACTGCTGATTTTATGTTGTATTCTTGTTTTAATGATGTACACCAAGTAGATACTAGTTTTTAAATATTAAGTGGTTTATAAATGCTTTTAAATAAATGAATAAATAAAACAAATGGAGGGCCTGCTCTAGATTTCGATATAGCTGTCCAGAGCATCAGACTGACCCAAACATTTCTCCAGTATTGAAGTTTTCAGCCCTATCAACAACATATTCCATTGGGTCCTATTTAATGCCGACAGTGGTGTATTTCAGATCTTCAGAGGCAAGGTTAATATGGTATTCTCAGTAGAAAGAAACATGGTCTCTTCATAACTGTCTTGACTGCCTGGATTATGTTGGTTTCATTCAAAAACAATGATGAATTGGTCAATATATTGTTTAAAAGATTTAATTGTACTCTGCTGATATTGCTACTTTGTTTGAGCCAACAGGTCAGTCCATAGTGGGATGCAAAGCTATCTTGATTGATGATCAGGTTTTTGTGGTGGTGGCTCAGCTTTTCGGTGGCTCACACATTTATAAGTATGAGGAAGGCTGGACAAAGTTTGTCAAATTCCAGGACATAGAAGTTTCCCGCATTTCAAAGCCGAATGACATAGAACTCTTTCAGATAGAGAGTGAAACCTTTTTTGTCATCGCAGATAGCTCAAAAGCTGGTCTGACGACAATTTATAAATGGAACAACAAGGGATTCTACTCTTACCAATCCTTGCATGAATGGTTCCGGGACACAGATGCTGAGTTTGTTGATATAGATGGAAAATCTCATCTAATCCTGTCAAGCCGCTCACAGATTCCCATTATCCTTCAATGGAACAAAAATTCCAGAAAGTTCCTCCCACACAGTGAGATACCCAACATGGAAGATGTGTTGGCTGTGAAAAGCTTTCGAATACAGGACAACCTCTACCTCTCACTTACAAGATTTATAGGCGACTCCAGAGTAATGATGTGGAATACCAAACAGTTTGTGGAAATCCAAGCTCTGCCTTCCCGGGGAGCCATGACCCTTCAGCCGTTCTCCTTTAAGAATCATCACTACCTAGCCCTGGGAAGTGACTACACCTTCTCCCAAATATTCCAGTGGGATAATGAGAAGCAGCTCTTTAAAATATTCAAGGAAATCTACGTGCAGGCACCCCGTTCATTCACAGCTGTGTCAACCGATAGAAGAGATTTTTTCTTTGCTTCCAGTTTTAAAGGCCACACGCAAATATTTGAACACATAATTGTTGACTTGAGTTTATGAAGGAGCTGTGGGAGGGAGGTGGGAGGGGGTAACTCATGTACAGTGACATTTTCACATAAAAACAAATCAAAAGGACAGATTACTCATTTTCTGAAGTTAGGATGTGCCTGTGGCATTAGTCAGGAGTTTTCTGAACTTTATAGAAGTTTGCATATTTAATCAGGGATCGCATTAACTTGGTTAAATGCATGCCATGCCCATTTTACCATTGGTAAAGACACTTTAAAGCCTATAATTACTCAGAAAAAGTGTGCAATGCATTAGAATTAATTCTAACACATCAACAACATTGATGCAAAATCGAGAATGGAGATGGGAAACCAAAAGAGGCAGGATAGCCGTGCGTAGAAAGAAAAGAAGAGGAAATATCTCCAGTGTGCCAATCCTCCTGTGAGCTGATCGTGGCAGAAACCGTATTTACGGACTAACTCAAAAAGCTTGTTTGGGATTTTTAAAAGTTAGAATCGAGATGAAAATGCTGTTGCATCATCTTTGCTTCATGCTGGTCAAGGAAGGCTGCAAGAAAAGGACCTCTGCTCTTTGGCCTCCGGAGCAACTGTGATAGGAGAAGCCTCTAGAGAGCCCTGTCTTTTCAATGCTCAGTCTGATTTAGGGGAGGAGGAAAGAGTGGACATGTGATCTGTTCCCTAAATCTCTCCCAGGCGGCTAGTTCACAGCAGCTCCACATTCAGGACTTCATCTGAACTAATCCAACCCACCTCTGCTAATATTTATGGCCTGGCCACTTGTTTTGGAAGGCATACAGCTGCTGCCAACCCACACCTATCAGATGTTTAGTAAAAGAAGCAAGTGGTGTGATGCCACCACATCCAGCATTTCCTACTCCCATTTTTTTTAACGTTGGCTTTTCCCTCACATGGACCTGGATCTAGCCAAAGTTAAACTTTTCAAAGTACAGTTGATTTCACTGGGACAGAACTACACGTGTGCTTCATTCTCCTATTGAAAGACTTGCTGCTTATCTGTGGCAGGATCATGCCCTGTTAATTCTGCCTAATTCCTTTCATTTGCTTCCTGATTACTTTGGACAAGGCTCCCAAGATGCCACCACGAGAACTGGTGTTTTGGTAATTTTCATGCTATTGGCCAATTTATGCTTTCAGTTTGTTTAATGCATGCTTAAGAGAATCTCCCGTGCAAAGCTCACACAATCTGAACGGCCTTTTCATTCAAATGTGGACTGCCTGATCAGGTGACAGTGCCCCAGAGGTGAAGACTGCGTGCAAGAATCAGCTCAGCTTTCAGCTGTTAAACATTCCGAGATTTACTGTAAAAAGGTTTTGTTTGCATTTAGTTCCCCATATTAAAACAGTGAAATGCAAAGCTGTACTGACATTGAGTGGTTTCAGGATGATGGGGTGGCAGTGGCAGAATCCTGTCATTCTTTTTGCTTACAATTTTATTGATCCCCCCCCCCGAGAAAAAAAAAGTTTATCAACAAGGACATTTGTACTAATAATCATAATGACAGCGACAACCTGAACCCAGTCCCACTGCTCAAAGACTTACAAATATAAGAAAGTTTATCATCATACACTACCAAACGAAACATCTTAATTCTATAACATAGAAGGGATCCCTGTTTTCATAAAATTTGACTCCTTTCTGAAGATTGTGAACCAGATTTTGTTATGCTTGTCTGTGCAGAGTCCATTATGGTTAGGTTTGTATTGCAATCTGGCATGTTTTCTAAACCAACGAGCACCAGTGCTAATGTTGGCAGGTTGCAAAGCAAGAGATCAGATCTTCACCTTTATAGACATTAACATGCAGTGAGACAGATTGCTGTATTCCACTGCTCAGCACCATCTTCCATCTTCCTAAAGTGAATGGGTCTTCAGTTTTACCCCCTGGTAGCTGGGACGCAGGTGGCGCTGTGGGTTAAACCACAGAGCCTAGGACTTGCTGATCAGAAGGTCGGCGGTTCGAATCCCCGTGATGGGGTGAGCTCCCATTGCTCGGTCCCTGCTCCTGCCAACCTAGCAGTTCGAAAGCACGTCAAAATGCAAGTAGATAAATAGGTACCGCTCTGGCAGGAAGGTAAACGGCGTTTCCGTGCGCTGCTCTGGTTCGCCAGAAGCGGCTTAGTCATGCTGGCCACATGACCCGGAAGCTGTACGCTGGCTCCCTCGGCCAATAAAGCGAGATGAGCGCCGCAACCCCAGAGTCGGTCACAACTGGACCTAATGGTCAGGGGTCCCTTTACCTAGCTGGGGAAGTAGGGTGACAACGCGAGAAGAAATATAAATTACGCAGCACAGTGACAGCACCCTACTTTTTGGTACAGGCAAATTTGTAACTGATGATTTGAAACCTGGCAACCTTTCCTAAGGAACACAAATTATCAGGAATATGTGCACATCATTAACATGGACTTTTTCAAAAACCGTATTGCGGTTCTGTTTTCATTGCAAAGGTCTGCAACTGCATTGTTTAGAAACAGAGCTTTTCAAATACCCACCACTCTTATTTTGAGCACTGTGCTTTACATAACATTTCTGCACCGTGTGAGCCAAATCCTCTTTCTCCCTACCCGTTTTAGTCAAGCCAGTGAAGCGATGGCTGTTCACATCGGTGTTAAATGAAGCACTGAAAATGTTAGCAGTAGGTCACTCCAGGCAATCCAGCTGTTAAAAAGCTATGAAGATGCCAAAACGAAGCAGCTCCAGTGCATGACTCAAGAATCAAACTTTGTTCAGCAGCGTTTAAAAACAAATGCTACAGATGAGAGAATGCAGGTTGTGGCCTTCATTAATCATAATTAGAATGGACCGGCAGTGTGTGGCGGCTTTGTTGTAACCGGGTATGAGACCCTAACAAACAGGTTTCGTTTTTCACTCAGGTTATAAATCAAAGCCATCCTACATAGCAATACCAGTTATTTGGGCCTTCTCCACACTTACTTTCCTTCTGCTCTTTCCAGGCATAGATCGCAATTTAAAGTTCCATGCCTGAGCACCTTCTCTCCCCCCCCTTTTTTTTTTGCTTTGGAGCTTCCTCCATGAAAACCCGCTCTTTAAATCTCAATTGGAGCAAACGTCAATCTGCAGAAAACCTAATTTGATGTTTGGTCTGATTCAGCTTTTAAAAGCGGGTTCTTGCAGAGGAAGCACAGGACAAAAAATAAAATAAAATGCTTGGACATGTTGAAAGGTGGACCTCTGTCTGGAAAGAGAGGGGCAAAATATAAGTGTGGATAAGCCCTTTATCTCAACAGCAAAAAAGACTGTGATCAAAAATAGGCTTGGCCCAGATGATTTGACTTTTCCCCACCATAGTCTATGGGTCGGAAACCACTCTCAGGGGTTGGATACATCAATATCTGGCCTGTTACAGCAATAAATATTTTGATCAACATTCAGAGAAAACAGCAAAGAATCTTTTAACACTGTAAAGATGAGCAGATTTATTGGGAAATAAGGTAGTTCGAAAGCATGTCAAATTGCAAGTAGATAAATAGGTACCGCTCCGGTGGGAAGGTAAACGGCATTTCCGTGTGCTGCTCTGGTTCGCCAGAAGCGGCGTAGTCATGCTGGCCACATGACCCGGAAGCTGTACACTGGCTCCCTCGGCCAATAACGCGAGATGAGGGCCGCAACCCCAGAGTCGGTCACGACTGGACCTAATGGTCAGGGGTCCCTTTACCTTTACCTAAGGTTTGTAGACTAGAGAACACTTTTTTCAAATGCAGTTATGAAAACTTATGTCAACAGTCCTAGTAGTATTCAAGGTGCCATAAAGCTGTTGTTTTTTCTGCAACAGGCTTAAGACAGCTTCCCCTCTGGAATCCAGAGAATATTTAACAGGTTTATATCCCAGTGGAATCAAAGAGAACCAAGCAATTAATTCTTCCATTCTGTTTATTTCAATGGGCTACATATGTACCCAATTATCTCTGGATTGTAGCTGGAAATTCTCCCTCTGCGCCATTCCATTACAAATTAACTGTGAGACTTTCTGCAATACCCACAAATCATCTTCGAACCCCCTCCCTCCACAATCAGCCAGGCTATTTAACAGTAGCTCTGGTTGACCTCAGTTTTCCAGTTCATGGAAAGGGAGTACATATGGTCCGCTCTAAAAATGGTTCCCGACTTCTGTGTTATGATACATGCCATGTGAACAAATAGGTCACGAATTACAGAATAGTATTAGATAATAATATGAAACCTGAATCCTTATATTAAAATGGAGCCTGAATTGTTTTGTGTTTGTATTTTCCAATGCACGTTGGGAGGGATCTAACTTGTAGGAGCTGTGATTTAGGACACCTTCCAGCTAAAACTTTAGTTCTGTATTTCAGCTGGAGCAATTTCATCATAAGCTCAAGACATAACATGCACATGGTCTGCCCGTTTTCTTCTCACAACAACGCTGTGAGGTTAGGGTGAGAGCCACTAAACTTCCAAGGCTGAGTGAAGTCCTAAACCGCTACGCAAACAACTAAACCACTGGCTTAGCTCTCACTGAAATCAATGGGAATTTAACTGCCTTTCCGTAACATAGTTTCTTATGTTGCTAACTATACTGGAGATAAGAAGTGTCATGTATGAGGTGTTCTCAATTCCAATAGATTTCTATATATCACTCACTTGCATAGCTGAGTCCTTCATTCAGAATACCAAATCTCCTGTAGTTGGCTGTCTTTAATAGGTCTCTCCTGATTCCTTGAATGAGTCTCATGCAGCAAGATATAATAGGCACATGGGAGCCAGCCAGCGGCCTCTTTTCCATTAGTATACTCCTGTTAGAAAGCCAAAGGTATTGAACATACATCATTATAAATATATGGACGGCTACATTTTAAAGCTAGGAATTCTCAGTAAACATCTTTCATAAAGGTCTATGGCACTGTAATCCTAATCACTCTCTTGGAAATAGGCTCCATAGATTTCGTCAAATTGATTTCCGTGTGTGCAAGCTGTCTAAGCAAGGATTTACAAAGTGCAAATGCATTGGCCCTGATCCAGTTCTAGTTA